TCACAGTGACTGACTGATGATTTGGTGCTATAGATTAACTAGTATTTATTATCATGACAATTGTTAGGCTGCTGATGTAAATTGATTCAGTGTATGTTTGACAAAGAATCTGAATTGACACATCTCACTTTTTATATGGCACAAATCAATGTGTTATTTTATCAGGTAGCAATATGTCCTAGTGCAGTCAGAGGGGAGGAGCCAGGGCCAAAGGTGAGGTAAATCTAGCACATAGTAATAATTTTAATCTGAGGATAAAACACATGTACAGAGGCTGAAAGAAGCTTCGGTGCTCTCAGAAGACTAAAAACATGACTAAGGTCAACAATGACAATGAGATTAAACAATGCTGCTGTATGTCCACCAGGAGAGACTGGACAGTATAGATGTAAAACCAATATGCCAGCAGTTTACCTCAGTTAACGAGAGGAGCAGGCATGTGTGTGGCTGCTTCACATTGAGTTGTTGTGTGGGACACCAGTAGCTCATGTCTGTTGCTGTAACAGTAGTTCATGTTTAGAATATAAAGTCCCAGCTCACTGACTTGATCGGGGCAGTAGTGCCTAAAATGTTGCATAATCTTGCTGAGAGATCTTTTACTTTGTGGTAATCTTAGATGAGTAGTTTTATGGACAAAAACCACCAGGTCATTCAGTGTTCCCTTAGTGCTAATGTGTCAGAGATGTTGGTGTAACTGAAGTAATGATGTTAAGTCCTTAAAGTCATATTCTTTTATTGTCATGACTGTATTTGGTGGCAGGGTTTGGTGGTTGAATCATCCGTCCCCACCAATGCCAAAACCAAATCTACACCCTTGGAAGCACGTCGAGTGCTACATAGTTAAGCATTTCTTCTTCGATAGAACTGAATTTTAGTAGATTTTGTCTTTTTTTTTGTTGTATTTTATTTTGAAAACTCAGAAACCGGATCTCACTCTAGCGTTTAGAAGCTGCTAAGGCTTCCGCTCCTCACAGCGCGCGTTTGCACTGTGAGGGTAAGTCCTGTAATGAAAGGCTCTGGCATTTTATGGTTTCTGGTGTGAATGTTGTTACATAAGTTGTACATGTTGATGTTAGAAAGTTTCTGTGTAACCGAAACAAAGGCTGGTTGCTGTTAAACAGTGTTTCTGCCGTATTTATGCTCTTTGGCAGTAAGTCTTTGTCAGCCCCCTAGTGGTTGCTGCGCATAGCAGGAAATGTGTTTGATTTACTGTTTTTCTGTGCTTTTTGTGATGTTGTTTTTACATTGTAGGAGCTACAATTGCTGGTACCATCAGAAGACACCTGTTGAGTGTGTTTTATGTCTTCTGCAGGTACGTGAGCTTGTTAACAGTCATTTTGTCTGTAAAGCACAAGCAAGTGAAAATGTAATGCGCTACCTTTAATTTGTCCACTAGAGGAAAATGTTTAGCCAGTGATACTTCTGTTATCCTGTTATTTTGTTTTATATGATTGTGAAATGTATTTTATTAGTCATAAGATTTCTTTTTGTATACAAGTTCAGTGGGACAGACTGTAAAATGGGAGAAATTATTATTTTGGAAGCATTACAGTAACTTCAAAAACAAAAACAGTTCTTATTTAATTCAGTGACAGCAACAGGGACAAAGCTGTTTTTATAACTCTTTGCCCTGTATCTTGGAAACAGAAACCTCCGTCGTGAGGAAAGAAGCTGAAATTCACCCTGTAGAGCTGATTTATTTTTCATGTCTTCTCCTCCATCATCAGTTATCACAGACCTTCCAAAAGTGTGGGGCCTGCCCCCTAGGGGGGCACAGAGCCATTGCAGGGCTGCGTTTTTTTATGTTTTTAAACCAATTTCCACAGAGAGGCATTGAAAAATGTATTGATAGCAATGTTGAATATTATTAGACAGGAAAAAAACAACTACACATAAAATAATTACACTGTGATGCCTCTGCCTTTCTAAATAGAGGGACAGTAACTGCGTGACTATATGTGACGTCACAGCGTGACGTGAAAAAAGGCACATACCTTTGACGTTGCGTGACGAACTCTATTCCTCGTCCACACGTAAATGCAAAAAAAGGATTTAAAATTTTTTTTTTAAGAATCTCAGTTTTCGGTGATTCGAAACGTCGTTTGTGTGTGGACGAAAGGTCCAAGCGCATAGAAACATCTGCGTTTTCAAAAATACCCGTGTGACGTAGCGTAAAAGAGCAAAATGTGGGTCTGTGTGGTTAAAGGACAAACACACAAAACATTTATCTTGGAAAACAAATAGGGGCCTCGCAAAAAAAAGTTTGGGAACCACTGCGTAGAGGATTTGTAAGGGTTGATAAAACCATTCTCTGTACCTGTTTAGAGTACAGGTAGGCTTAACAAGACTGTGGCTCACCTATCAGATGACTAGACCATTATGGCGTTATTTTTGTGCCACTATTCTGAGCGCATGTAAAAAAAATAAAAATAAAAATTGAGAGCACGTAAAAAGATTTTGCAGATGCAAGTGTTGCATTTTGAGGAGAAATTTATTTTGAGCGAAGAAAAGCTAAATTTGAGTGAACAAAATTCATTGCTGCGTGCAAAAAATGTATTTCACTGTTTGCTATTATCCACACACACACAACAGCAGCCCCTCTCGCTCAGTTTTTGCATTCGCGCTCACTCGCAATCTGTTGCTCGCGCTCTCAACATTTCTGCCCGTGCACGTTCAACTCTTTCTCTACACTGTTTTATTTGTGCCACAAAACCAGCCAATCACAGACTTGGATGCAAAAACATCTGACTGGCTGTTTTGGTCTCCAATCAGCTCGAAATGACGAAATGCAATATCCCAGAATCCATTTCGTCCAAAACTCAAACGAGGCAGTGGCGGAGGAGCACAGAGTGGCGGAGTTTGA